GCGCCTTAAAGTCGTTTTGTTGCCAAGACGTCAGATCTAAGTTCCGTCTGAAGGGCTGACGTCTTTACTAAGTCCGGACCGATCCATCAGGATCCTTCAAGTTGATGTTCTGCCTCCTTGTGAGAAAAGTGACATCACAACACACGGATTAAAATACCTGTATCTTTGCTCAGTAGAGCTTGTAACGGGTTCTTTTCGTATAGGCACAGCTTTGTCCAATGGTGAATTTTTAACCTTAGTTCATAGCTTAATCACGAGAGAACATTAAAGAACTAAATCGTAATGTGCATAGATAGTTCATAGTTTCATTACTTAATCATATTACGGATTACGAAACATTTATCTTTAATTTTCTCAGTAGAGCTTGTAACGGACCCTTTTCATATGCGAAGCTTTGTCTAAGTGTGGATTTCTAAAGAAAGTCCACGGAATAACCGTGATGGTTTCTAAACCATTATATCGTAATGTACAAAGTTAAATTTATAGTTTAGCATATGTTGTTTCCAATGATGTTCTGCTTCCTTGTGAGAGAAGTGACATCACAACACGCGGATTACCAAAACCTGTATCTTTGCTCAGTAGAGCTTGTTACGGGCCCTTTTCGTATATGCACAGCTTTGTCTGAAGATGATTTTATGAAGAAAGTCCATGAAGACATTTTAAATGACTGAAAAAATAGCTTGAACCTGTGAGGGTGAGCTTATAATGGGCCCTCTTTGTATGTACAGCTTTGTCTAACGATGATTTTATGAAAAAAAAAGCCCATGACTTAATCTTTAAATGGCTGAAATTTAGAGTAAACCTGTATCCAAAGCTTGTAACGAGCCCTTTTCATATGCGCAGCTTTGTCTAAGTGTGAATTTCTAAAGAAAGTCCACGGCTTAACCGTGATAATTTCAAAACCATTATATCGTAATGTACAAAGTTAAATTTATAGTTTAGCATTTTTTTAGCAGTTTTTCTAATATGTAAAGCACTTTTAAGATTTTTTCGAAATATTTCTAAACCAGCCACTGTCTTAGTTTGCATACAAATTTTCACGTATCACTGATTGACAAAGACATTGTTTTCATTGTGGTAGAATTTTGCTACCTAATTAAGAAGCTGGCTTACGTCATCAAAATGGATAATGACTGGTGGTTACAAGCGCGATAAAGACCGTTCAGTAATGAACCTTGTCATGAGTCATTCATTTTTATCAGTCAAATACGCATCAATCAAGGTGTACAACAAAGACCAGCTATCATGTAATATAGATTTAGATTTGTTATCATGTTGATCATGTAATATAGATCGTGCTTAAAATGCGCAATTCAACCTCTTTATATACAAATGAAGCTGGCATGTATTCTAATATGTAAATGAACTAAGTCAATAAACACAATATATTTGTTCTACCAAGAATTAACCGTGTCTGAGCATGGTCAGGATACTACAGTGTAGTCGTAGGAACATGCCGTAGGATTTCTTTAATAGGCAGTGCGTTTCTTCCTAAGCATTTGTTTTGTCAGTTTGAAAAAGCAGATCTTTATCGGCTTTCAAAGGATCATTGACACCCAAGGACCTTGAAAATAACGGTTGAAGAGGTCTGCAGAATTCCTGGCAGCTAACAAGGCGAAGACACCGACTGTCTGTTGACAAAAGAACAGGCAGGGACCATATGTCTATCTGTGTGGCATGCTCTGAGCTGGAACATACATGGATGACAAGGCACCGTGCATGTGTAGGTGAAAACTAGGAAAATCATTAGTGAATACTTCTAGCCACCAAAAGATCTGCTTAGGGATTAGCTGTTTTGAAGGTGGAAATATATAAAATCATTATTGGATATTCCCAGAAGGATTTTCTATTAGTACTCCGTTTCTTGTGTTGTTTTTAGTTTGCTGGTTCTCGGATTCGCCTCCTTTTTTTTCTGATTTGCAAAAAAAAAAAAAAAAAATACTGGTTCTGAATCAGCTCAAATATGCTTGATTGATAATATATTTTCCCCCAACAGTTGAGGAAACTCCTTTTATTCCTATTTGTTACAGTTTTTCCATCTTTTAATGCAGTGGTTTGACTAAAACTTCAAAGTTCATCGTTTACCTATAGACATTAACCCAGCCTTTTGTGTTGACTTCATGGTTCCTATCATGGTATTTGGGGCTACAATAGAATGCCTAGATATATAGATATATATTTCATTTTTATATTTCTTCGCTCCGTCGCTTCAAATATTTTTGAAAAAAAAAATTAAATTGGCCTAACATTGAGGAGTTCTGAATGAGTGTCTGTGGAGTGGAACGCGGTCCGGTGTAGGTGGCCTTGCGCTCCGAACGCACAGTCGATCGTGCACGTCTAATGACGTCCATCCGTCACTATTACAGACGTGTGCCCGACACGCGGAACGTCACTGGACAAAGTCAATATGCTCATTTTCTCATTTGGGTAAGCTGGTTACGCTTAGCTTGCAAGGAAATAAATCGCAGACAAAAGAACGGTATGTGCATTCAATTTTGTACGGGTACATTTGCATAATTTAAGAGTATACAGTACTTTCCTTATGTTTTTTTTCAAATTCTTGTGTGTGTGTGTGCAACCCGTTACTTGTATAGTTTTTTCAGTCTGCATAAATTACATATTTTATGATGAATTCTTTTTAAGTACCGTATTGTACAAAAGTACGTATAGAGTGCAACACACCCGATATAATCGCTTTTAATTTTCGTCTTATTTCTCCGGCTCCTATTTCTCTAATGAGATCATAAATCATCTCCTTACATTTCCAATATCAGAACGAAATTAGAGGAAGCCGAATTTACGCAATATACTCGAGTACAGGCTTGTTTAATAGTGCTAGTATGTATGTATGTATCTGTAAGCTTTTGTTGTGAGTGGGTGTGTTTGTGCAATACTGTTCTTCAGTTACCGGAATTGCAGTTCATATTTTACCTGCGCACAACTATAAACCGGGCGGTTGGAGGACATCAAAGCAGTAAAGACTTCGTCTTTTAGATAAGAATTCTAACATTCTTGAGTCGCCTTTGTCAAAGCCTCCACACACCGTTGGCGAGAACATCTCCGAAACTTCTTTGTGTCTGGCGAGGTTGTGACAACACGGCGTGTTTCTCACAACAGGTGGAGGTGACGAGAGAAGGCCTTTCGGAAGCTCGCGTTGTGCAAACAGACGCGCCAAAGTCCGTCGCGTGGCAAAATTGACACAACCGGCCTCTTCGGTGCGCAACACTGAAACTCCTAGCCTCCGTAGCAGGCTTATAGAACTGGGGGTTTGGTGCTCTTCGGCTGTTTTCTATTTAGCTAAAAACGGGGTAATTCAACCAGGCCAGCTATGTTGTCTATATTCAATCAGAAAATAGCACATAAAAAGCTACCAAAGACCCTGAAGACCCCCCCCAAACCCCCAGTTTTTATTGGCATGCTATGGAGGTTATCCCGCACCGTCAATTTTTACTCAGTACGTTTCGCTTCATAAGCGTAACGAGGCAGAAACATTTGACTACGCGCCCAGCTGTGAACGGGCCTCATAACGGACACATTAGCGGATACTACAGGGACAGCGGACATACTGCGACACGATTTGGGTCATTAACACCACATTTTGGAAACGACCACTGGCGTTACAAAATTTGACAGATCGCTCAACAAATGTCATAGAATGAATGAATTTATGAATGAAATTAATTGCTCGACAGTTGTACATGGTACAACGTATGGCATTTAGATACACTTTTTTTCAAATTTGGTAGTGCATAGTATATACTGCATTGTATTTCAATTATGAAATTATAAGGATAGCACAAACCCAAATTGAGAAAGAGGGACATGCAGAAAGACGGGTCTAGTTTTGGAAAAGGGAGCGAGAAAAAAGAAAAACAAAGTAGCCAATTCTTACCCTAAAAGTAGCCCTTATCTTTGTATTATGTCTTATCTACTGGACACTGCTTTGCCTTTTGGATACTGTGTTGCTTATTGGAAACTCTCCTACCTATTAAGTATTGAATGCAGTCTTTCTTTTTGTATAATTTCTTTCTTACTGGAAACTAACGCCTATAGAAAACTGTCTTGCCTTTTGGATACCGTCTTGCCTGTTGGCTACTGTCTAGATTATTTGACACTCATGCCTATAGTATATGATACTCTCTGCGTTAGGATACTGTCTTCCCTCATTGGCTACTGACTTCCCTGTTGTCTATTCTAATCTCCAAGCAGATCTTTCGGTGGGGGTAAGACAGTATCATTGGGCCAGTCTGTGTCCATTTCCCCACCGAAATGATTACAGTCTGGCCAATTTCTTCCCCCCACCGAAAGATCTGCTTGGAGATTAGTCTATTCTTCATGCCCAGCGACAGAACCGCTTGGAGATTACTAGTAGCTAATATCGGCTTTTACTTTGATAACTACCCGCACACTTCTGGAATTGGATACTGCTTTGCCTTTCATACTGTCTTGCCTACACGATACTACTCTCTTGCCTATATGATACAACTGTTTTGCCTATTGGATAATTTCTTGCCTATTGGATATAGTGTTGCCTTTTGGATACTGCCTTGCCTTTTGGATACTGTCCTACCAAGGAGGTTTAAAATTTAACCTTTTTGGTCTTACCTATTGGATACTGTCTTGCCTTTTGGATACCGTCCTACATATTGGGTACTGTCTAGCCTATTGGATAATAAATTCCCTAGATGGGTATTTGTTGCTTACTGTCTTCCCTTTTGTCTATTTTTCATGCCCAGCGACTATTCTGCTTGGAGATTAGCTAATCTCGGCTTTTACTTTGATAACTCCCCGCACACTTCTGACGGTAGGAGCCAGCGGGCGGTCGAAGCTGAGGGTCTCTACAACACAAAGCTCGGCGGACTCTCCTCCCTGATTGGGCAACCTGAGGGTCAACAATGCCTCGTGCGTCCCTCCCGACACAAAGGGTCTCTCCGCGGGTCTCTAGACGATCGCTTACCGCCCGACCGCACTTCCAAGCGTGCGTCTAGCGGAGACACACACACAACACGCGCGCTGCGCACTTGGCTGAAGATCTCTACTTTGTACTTGTACTTGAATAGGTCTCCTCGACTCATCTCTGAGTGGCCTGCGTCAAAGTCGTCCCCCCGTCTGCACAGCGTCATTGCGCCATACTTGGTGGTCGTGGGTAATCGTCTTCAGGTCTTCTAGAGTCAGACTGGGTTGGTGCATGGTCCAGAAGATCTCCACACTCTAACCTAAATGCGAGACTGTGGCATTGTCACTATGGAGTGCTGTAAGGAAAATACTGCGGTTAACGTCGGGTGCGACTTCAGAACCAGTTGCCTGTACGCTAAAGGACTTGTCGAGGAGAAAGCTTTTGCGAAGCAGCAGTGTTCGCAGCCTTTCGAGGTTTCCGACGCCGTGGACATTAGAACTGAGTGTGTGGAACAAGACGTAGACGACAAAGAATCACTCATCAGAACTGTTCTAGCAGACACCGAGACCGACTCGAGACTTGGATTCGGCGCCTCTCAGAAGCATCCGAGGAAAATGTCCAGAAGAAATGAGAGAGAGCGCCAGCGGGTCCGGATGGTGAACATGGGCTTCGCCAACCTACGAAACCTCGTGCCGGACGGGCGGACCAACAAGAAAATGTCGAAGGTGATTGTTTTCTTCTTGTTCTTCTTTGGTTTGAGGGGGCCAACATTAGCATAATGATACACAAAGTGGCACACACAACTACATTACTAATACAAACTTTGTTACATTATCACATAAATACACCAAATTATCATCTTTAGAACCACAACAGTGCTATATCTACAGTTTGTTATGTGACTGAATGGTTCTATCAGGCACAGTTCTATATAGTCTCCTCCGCGTATCCAAGAACGTAGGTTTGCCCCAGGCACGTTTCTGAACACTAGTGGACTCTTCAGAACCGTGCCTGAACATTGTTTTGAATAGAGCACAGTTCTGAATACAACTGATATGGGTGTACTATCTATATACATGTACACAGATACAGATAGAATACCCATAGTGTTTCACCCCCTACCCTCCAAAATCCTACCCAGTTGCTTGAGTAACTGTTGTTTTTTGGCGTAACAAACGAATATCTCTATCTCTCTATCTTAGGTTGAAACCCTCCGCTCGGCGATGGAGTACATACGGCAAATTAAGGAGCTTGTGGAAGAGCACGATGCCGTATACGTAACAGCCGTGCTGAGAAGAACACGATGATGCTATTAATGTACTGTCTGTTTGTGCCACTTTGTATTTCTCAGCAATGTAGGGAAGACCCCCTCACTTCCAGGGTCAACCTACCCCCCCCCCATAAAAAAACTGGGCCAGTATACAGACCAGCTCCAGTGGTCCTGTGAGTAGAGTCTGGCATACAGGCTACTAGTAAGGCAACCATTCAAATAAACAACAACAAAAAAAACTAACAAACAAATCTCTATCTTAGGTTGAGACCCTCCGCTCAGCGATGGAGTACATCCGGCAGCTGAAGGAGCTTGTGGAAGAGCACGATGCGGTAACCGCCGTGCTGAGCCAAGCATTCCCTCGGGCCCAGGCGCACCTCCCCCCGCCCAGTTACAGCTACGAGTCCGATGGCTCCAGCAACCCCATGTCGCCGGAGGAGGAGGCAGAGCTTCTCGACTTCTCGTCGTGGTTCTGAGATGTGTGTGCTCCGTCTTAAGGTACATCTAAGAGGTGCTAGTGTCACGGAAATGAAAAGAAACCTACAGTGGACTTCACTGGAAGACAGAAGAAAGATGTCTAGACTATGCATGATGTACAAAATGACTAATAAACTGGTGGATGTCCCAACTACTAAGTACCTAATACCAGCCCAGAAGAGAACAAGAAATAGCCACGCATTCAAGTACCAGAGTTATCAACCAAGGATTGAGGTGTTCAAGAATTCATTCTTTCCTAGAACTATCGCAGAGTGGAACTCACTGTCACCAAGTACAGTAGGGGCATTGTCAATAGATAGCTTTAAACAATGTCTAGAGCTAGAAGTTCAAGGGTTAGGTGTAACAAGTCGATCGGTGTAATATAGCCAGCTGCCGCCGCGCCGCGTGCCTGCGAAGCTGGTGTGTTACGCCGAAAGGCGGTTATACCGGCTATACAGATACAGATACAGATCTACTTTACTTTAATTAGGCCATGTTTAGTGGGGTCGTGTGGCGTAGCGGCAGAGTGCCTGACTAGGAACTTAAAGTCCCGGGTTCGAGTCCTGACATGCCACCGACCTTGGGAAAGGCACTTTACACGGCTTTCCTCACTTAGCTCAGGTGTAAATGAGTATTGTCCTGTCATGTATTTGTCCCCTGTGTTGGTGGCGGCATTAATATAAGTTGAAAAAACTTGAGTGTGTCGTCACCACGTCTGGTGATTGCATGTTGGAATAATAAAAAATTAGGGCATGTTGATTTGAATATATGGATGACATCCTCTGGGAACCCTAAAACTGATGCGAACGTGCGAATAAAAAAGGTTTGGCCCCCCAAAAAAGTTGTTTTCAATATGAAATCTACGTGGTTTTGAAGGTAAAAAAATGACACAGGGTATGGTGAATAACCTAGTGTTCAAATTCATTTCTTTACATTTTGGTCTTTTTCGTTTGATTTTGGCATGCTACGACATTGGTATGTTTTCCAATTTCAACTAATAAGTTATGAAATGATGTTAACAACAACTCACCAATAGTGGTATGTTAATCTTGTTTTATCTCAGGTCTCGGAGAAGAAAACAAGCTACAGAAAGATCTACAACCTGCTACCAAGGAGCGCGTTGGCAGTCAGTACCTCACCTGTTAAGAGCAAAATTCTAACACTTAGACAGAACGCATTGTTCAAGGTCATATTCACCTATTTTAAGATTGCAAACCGTCTATAGCTTTCAAACGTTGTGTCAGAAAAGATATTATAAATCTATATATAAAACAAAATTGTTGACCAAATAGCCAACGAAAACCTTGACCAATACTAGTACGCTCTCTACTACGGTCTACGTTAAATGGACCTCAAGACATGACGTCATCTTTATCCAATAGCAGCCCGGGAAGTATACACTAAAAGCCGAATGCGCATGTGATTTATAGACCTCTGTGAGCCAAACGTACAAAGAGTTTCCATATTGCTGGTGATATGGGAGACATCGATGTAAAAAAAATATAAAAAGACGCTGTGAATATGTTGTGTATTAATGTAAATTGAGCCATAAGATATATATATAAATGTAAAATTGTGTCATGTTGTATAAATACTCGACATTATGACATTAACCAAAGGACTTGTTGAATTGTAATGAGGCAGTTTTCTTGTTATTAAAAGAGTTGTCATTTATACAAAGATAGTTTGTGTTTTTTCTCATCTCATGGTCTGTGTGATAGCTGACTTAAATTTGGCAAAATTATTTCTGAATGGGATAAATTTAGAATTGTCTGTGTCCTCTTAGAATTTTCGGAGAACAACTAGTATCAAAAGAGGAATGTTCTACTAACTTAAATGCCAAAAAAATATTTTTAAATGCTTATATTTCAAAGATATCTAGCAAAGATTCTAAACTTGAGTCGTGGTTTAGTTAACATTTATCCCAATATATATAATAAGCCGGTGATACACGTTAAAGTAAGATGATTATATTAAGGCAGAATTTGTATATTTTGTGTGATTGTTTAATGTATATGTTTAATGTATACGTATGACTTTTTATGTGAATTGTAATTTCTCGAATCTCTCTTTTTTTTTAAATATTGTATCATGTAACAGTGTGTGGCAGATGTAATTTTAAATATCTGTTTCTGCACTTAATATATTTTCTGTGGGAATCCTGGAAGAGTATCAAAATAATCTCAAACACTGCGGCAAAGCCCAAATCTTTGCTTGGAGAGTACTAGTACGCCGGTGACTGTATAGACCAATGTTCTATTGTGTCCCGTGAACATTATGTAGGTTCTACCTGAATACCCCGAGGGTAAATATATATTTAAAGATATCCAGCAAAGACTATAAACTTATGACACGGTTTAGTTAGTTCAGTGTCTTTCTATACTTGAGTTGAACAGTTGTACATTTATCCGGCAACGCATACACAGTGATACTTTCCAGCAAAACCTAAATCTCTAAACTGGTAACTGTATAGACATTGTTCAACTGTTGTTCATTTACTTGTATCTCAGAAAGCATAGCCGGTGATACACTCCACCAAAGCACCAAGTCTCTTCTTGAAGAGTAAACCGGTTACTGTATGGACCAATGTTCTATTGTGTCCCGTGAATATTATGTAGGTTCTACCTGAATACCCCGCGGGTGAATGCCCTTCTTTTTTCCGACCTCGTCTTTGTGAAAAACTTTTTAACTCAAATAAAGAAACCTACGCAGTGATTAATGCCTTGGGGTCAATCTGATTCGCGCATGCGCCTGGCGCGAGGTTCGAAACAATGGCGGAGGTTCGAAAAGCGGGGAAAATCGCTTCTCTCCGCCCGGTGGATGTTTTCGCTTGGGTGGTTTTCTATGACCCGGGCCTGAAAAGGGACCGAAAGGAAGAAAGCGGAGTAATAGACAGGGTAGAACACTGGCTTGGCGGAGTTCCAAGAATTGACCTCAAGAAG